TTTATTTCAATGTCATTTGTGAATGTTAGTTCCTCATTTTCAACAGTGGAGCTATAAAGGTTGAAAAAGGTTTTCATTAAGTCTCATCAACATTAATATTTCCACTAAATAAGAGGCAAAAAATAATAAGTTTGATAGAGGAAAAGCCTCTCAGACTCTGAGCTCAAAGCAAGATGTCAGAGAGCACAAACTATTTTTTTTTTTAAATTTGAGACAATTAATTTAATTTCACATAATTATGGCGTACCCTCACAACCCCACTGAGGGACAAGGGTGTAAAGAAAATGGATGGATGATGGATGAATAATTATGGCGGTAGAAGCCATTTGTTTGTTAAATACTTAATGAAAAGGTAAACAAAGGCAAAACAACCCGAACAGGTGATCAACTCTCTCTCTCTATCTATCTATCTATCTATCTATCTATCTATCTATCTATCTATCTATCTATCTATCTATCTATCTATCTATATATATATATATATATATATATATATATATATATATATATATATATATCACTCTGTCATGCCACCCGTTGCCGTGGCAACCGCCTGCGCTCCGCAAGCCGAGCAGCGATTATGCTAAAAACATGACATTGTTAGTTGATATTTATTTTGCGATTATTAATAAGCGCTTCCCTAAGACAGATGTGGTAGATTAATTAATTTTAAACTCCTTCTCTGCTAGTTATTTTGGTAATGGAACCGAAACGCGCAGAATTGCGAAGCACCTTCTTGAAACAATAAGGGGTTATTATTTTTTTGGATCATTAATTTGAACATGTTTTGTTGATTTTTATATTTTTATTTATTTATTTATTTTTGTTCTTCTTTAATAAAGTTAGGAACGTTTTAAGCCAGTCAGAGGAGGACGTGCTGGTCTCAGCGTCCCGGCGGCGTTCAGTTCGTCACCTAATGCCGAGATCGACTCAAAACCTTCCGCGATCGACGTGTTGCAGCCCTGCTCTAGCAAAGCACGAACAATTCAGAAACAATTCCAAATGGGGGCGGGGGGAAACCCTATTTATTTACCCTTGTGCGTGCGAGGACTGAGGCAAACGTGGAGGACTGTGGCATGATACAAGTTTCACGGGTGTGGGGTCGGTAGATATACAAATGAAATATGTTTCATAATTGTCCTGTAATTGGTGGTTTTTGGCGCCCCCTACTGGTTGCATATAAATTCGGGGAGAAACCCAGAATTCCACGCAGTCTGATCAGCGCTCTGCTGTGGTAAGTCAACAAATCCGGTTCTCTTCTGAGAGGTGTTGGAGGTTTGTTCAAAGGGTAACTTGAATCTTTGTTGCATCACACAGAGTGATAGGTTAACCAGTAGAGAGGGCGCCATTTGTGTTTTGTCAATCACTAATTATGTTACATTTAATGTAACATAATTACCAGTAATTTATGTTGTCAGTTATGTTTGTCAGTTTATCAGTTATGTTTGCCAGTCTGCCTGTTTGTTTAGTAGTTGTTTCTATGACGACATGACATGGCAAGGTTTATTTTCTGCTAATCACCAGAGGACTTTCTCAAGAAATTGAATGATTAATTTTGACTGCTGTTTGTATTTATTTTTCTAATTTCTTATTTAAAAAAAAATTGTCACAGAAAATATAATAACTGTGAATTGCGCAGTCGGTTCAGTGCTCTGCTGTGAGTGATAGGTAAACCAGTAGCGGGCACACTGCGCCATTTGTGTTTTGTGTGTGAAATTGAAAATTTATGAATAGCCAAAACTGATAAACATAACTTTCAAACTGCTAAGACACGTTTTCAAAGGAATATTTAAGTAAACATTATTCTCAGATTTGTTCCTGAGGCTTTTTACTCCTCAGGAACAATTGTCTGTTCATTTCAAAGTTTGATATTTGACTCACCTTTAGAATACTTGGTCAACTTTAGTTGCACAAAATGTATGATAAAACATGATATGGAATTAATTCATTGGGATTGTGCATGCAAAATAATGGAACAAATACTACAAAAGCAATGTAGAGAAATGTTAACACTTGAGCTGTGTCCGAATTCAGGGTCTGCATCCTTCGAAGGCCAGATTTGTAAGCCGATTACGTCATAACGTGGCGACAAGGCCTGTCCGAATTCGAAGTCTCCTTCAAATGCAGCCTTCTTAACCCAAGATTTGACGGATGGGTCCGGTGTATCCTTCACGGCCCACCACATCCCATAATTATTTTGCTATATTACACTTTAAATGACAATGTGATTTGGTACAACATTTTTAGACGAGAATTTAAGTGTCTTTCTGTCTCCGCTCTCTGCTTCACACTGTCATGGTTGCTAGGCAACATGAGTTGCAAAGGTCAGGGCGGGGCAGTTGGTGAAGGCTAGACCTGTCCGAATTCACAGCGTTTCTCTTCCGGTCATTATTTATTCGGGGTCCTTCGAAGGATGCAGACCCTGAATTCGGACACAGCTTTAATCTGCATCAGCACAGGAGTTCCT